AATCATATTTCTATTCCTGCTTTTCCCAAATGCTATGTCTAGCACATATTTCATTTCATTAATCATTTTCATTTAATAAATTTTAGTATAAACCATTAGCGCTGTCACGCTTTTGAAAAAGAATGATTTATTGGGATAATTCTTCCCAATCTTTTTCACCAAACGTATAACCAAATTTTTACGGGTGGTCATGAAATTACGAAATTATCCTTGACGCACCTGTAAGGCAGCTTTATTTTTCCATGTGTAAGGACTATGATAATTTGCTTGCCAAAGCCGAGAGCCAATCACAGAGTTTTTATCAACTGGAATCTGCAGATTCCAAATTGACTGACAAACCGAGAGAAATGGAAAAGTGTCCATGTCCTCGACCCGTCCTGAAATCAAAAGCGGCGCTGCCGAAGACAAAAAAGTTTAAATGAAAAGGAGCACACTGCGGTCAGGACGATGCTGACAGGGAAATGTGAAAAGTAGCAAACAGCATCAAAAGTTTTCCGGCTTTTACTTGATAGCCCGCTCCCATCTAGTCCCTCATTTCGCCTTTCATCTTTTTCGAGTGGGCAACCAGATGAGGAGGGTCGCCAGCCAATTTTTGATTGCAACATTTCGCACCAAAGGCAAAATGTGAGCCACTGCACACAAGCGAGCAAACAAACATGTTAAAGCTAATTTTAATATTTTCCGTGACATGGCGTTCACTTTGAGTGTGCCACCGCCTTTGTTGTTGTTTGTTTGTTTGTCCAATTTGAGCGTCCGCCCATCCACATCCACATACATACCCTGTACCGTAAGTGCAGTGGATACCCATGCCATGTTACATCATTCCCTCCAGGCGACAAGTAATTTTACTTGGCAAAATGAATTGCACAAAGTCCTTTTTTTGCGATTTGTCGTGCCATCTCTTTAGCTGTCTGCTCCGGCTTTGTGGTGTTCGTCATGTGTGTTCTCGATGGGTGTGTGTTTACGGGTCCTTTTTCGTTCAGATTGGTCAGCATTTAATTTTTATTTCTTGGAACTCACTAGCTGCGGGGAAATATGACAAAAGATTCTGCTAAGCTCTGGTACTGATTAAAAAGATAAGTAATGCTAGCTGTAATGGTTTTGTAAGGATTTTCAATCATCGAGGTTCAAAATAAATTATATATAATTTCTGTTACCATTAAGTGGCCTCTTAAAACTCAAATCTTGTTACTTATTCATATAAATTAGCGGCTAAAAGATCATGTGGAAAAAGTGTTTTGTTAACAAGCCATAAAAAATTAAAAGCTCTGTATATCTTTCTTACAGGAATACCCAAAAGTAATTCCTTATGTCCTTAACATATTAAAATGTATAATAATAATAATGTACAATAATGTAATTGAAAATATGTTCCTATCAGTTATTATATTATCTTTTATAATTACATTATATTAATACACTTTATTTCGAGGTTATGCAAAATGTAAATACAAAAACCTCAGTTTTATCAGCTTCAAATCAAATGCTAATTATCATTTGCTTTTAGCCCTACATGCGTTGGGAACGACACAATTTAATTTTTTGTCGCAAAGTGCTGCTTTGCATTTCAAATGAGCCGAGCTGCCAAGACGGGCACCTCAAAATGGAAGGAAAATTCTAGGGAAAGCCCTTAGCTTATTTTCCAAGCCATCAACTGGTCTCCAGGCTGCGTGCAGCGACTGACAAAACAAATAAACTTGCTGCCGCTTCAGATGCGCTTCTAGAGGGGGCGGTGGGCGTGGCAGAAGGGCGGAGGGGGGGGGGATGGAGGGGTTTTGCCCTGGCCGTCACACACATTTGGTATGCATAAGCAGCAGTCGCACACCTTACCGCACAGCACAACATTATCCGGCGCGGAGACATTTTTCCATATTTCACACAACAAAAGCAATGCCAGACGCAACTTTTACCTCAACTTGCTGTGACATTTTCCTTTCCCCTCTCAGTGGGCATCCTCCTCGCCCTGCTTTCCCTGCTTTCCCTCCCTCCACCCACAACCGAGCGCAATTTCAAATTTAATTCGCCATTTTCAGCCAGGCAACCACCCCCAACTTGCCGAAACAGCCACCCACCAAGGCACCCACCCAACCAACGAGCCCAACTTCCGCCCACTCAACGCCATCTTGTGGTTTTCCTCGCCTTCCTCGCAGTTGCTGGCCGTTTCCTTTGGCTTTTTTATTACGTATACGGAAAATGTGGAATTCCTGAAGACATTTTACTTTGCAATTTCCTTACGAGTCGTTAAACATTTCCAGGCTCTGCCACAACAACCAGCAACAGAACCAGAACCAGAATCACAACGAGAACAGCAGCAACAACAATGGCCAAAGTTAACAAAACTAATTTAAAAATTCAAATTTGCTTTCCGCTTTTTATATGCATCACAAACTGTGCATTTATATGGCTGGGTAAGTGAGTACGTCTATATTTGTATATATTCAGGATCCAGGATCCAGGATGCAGGATGTGGGCGGTGATGTCCGCCCTTCCGTGGGCTGGTAATTTGTATTCCTGTGGCTTTCTTGTTGATCTTCTTGTTACATTTGAGTTTTTCTTTCCCTTCGACTGCCTTCGATATTTTGGAGGATGCTTTCCGCCAGCAGACACACATTCGTGTGTTTGGTGTAATTTATTTGCCTGCCAGCCGGGGTAATGAAATCTGATTGCAAAATACATATCCAATTGAATTGAATTTTGCCACTGCTAATGGAAAATCGTGCTCGGTAAATTTAATTAGGCATGGAATATGGAATATATGCAAAACATTTGGCAAAAGTCAGCGTCGACTAAAACATGTGATCCTCAACGGAATAATGCAAATTTCAGCTCATTAATATCAATCAAATGATTGATAGCACTTAGAGCCACCACCACAGTTGCTCCGCACCCCTCTCCCGCAGGACTGTTAATAAATCCTTTGACAATTGCTACATTAATGTCAATACATTTACATTCGTGACCGACCCCTTTCCTGTCACAATACTTGTACGACTCGTGCCAAAAGGACTCGTGATAAGGATCCGCACTGCGCTGCAGAGATGGAAATCCCGCATCCTGGCAGCTATCTCCGCCCGGAGATCCTGTGTCAAAGTTTTAGCTCGATTTTGCGGCTGTCTCATCAATCAATTCCGTTTAGCCACTTGTCACTCAGCCATTTTATATGGCTTACCGAGTTTTGGGTGCGACTAATTTCCGGCAAAGGGATTGGGCTAATGCGAATCACATTTAAAACACTGCCGCTAAGCCACAATATTTCACGGGGATCCAGTACAGCTGTAAATGTAATTCGAACATTGTGTTGGACACTATACTGCGTATTGGGCGGCCACTACTGCCCCGCGGTAAATTTGCAACAAATTAAAGGCCAATTAACCCATCAGACGGGCTTATGAGCCGCCAAGCGCTAGTGCGCACACACGCAGTTGCAATTATCAAATTAGTGCGGGGCGTGGCGGGTCAAGCAATTGGAGAAACAAATAATAAATTGGACGCGGAAATGCAAAACACACACTGAGCACTATAATTAAGTTGTTGACCCGGCCGAGTTGACCCGCGCTGCATCGGTTTGGGCCAAGATGCGATGCGCAAGCAACAAACGACTGACAACTGACAACTGGCAACTGGCAACTGACAGGCGCATAGGCCTCGAATTAATTAATATGTTTGCATTGCACAAGATGCAGCAGTGCAATTATGAACTGGCACGGGTGTGTCCCAATTTTTAAGTCCTCGAAATGCACTTAATTTTCCACTGATATGGATCCTCCCTTCGCGTTCTAATGTCCGTTGTGGCCTATTAAACACACCCCTTGGTTGTTTGTTTGGCTGTGGCCCACCTTACTTGGAGTGAAGCGGCACGCGCCGCTGGAAATTTTCTCCAACATTTCCAACATACCTCTGCGGTTTTCCGGACGTTTTTATAGTTCTTCTCAAATTGCTCTAATTCGTTAAGTTATAAAACCGGCCGCCAAGTTTATTTAGTTTTATTGCCACTGCGGCGGTCAATGAACCAAACGTCAAAAGGACTGCCCAAAAAGGACGACACATGCGTGTTAATCTCTAATTTGCTAGGTGATCATGTGATGTATGTATATACACATATATTTATATAGACACAACGCATACATATTCAACAGCACAGCGGGTAGTTGATAGGAGCTTGTTCCATTCGTATCCTTTAAATTGCCAGACGCCGTCGTGTTTCGAATGTCGGTATCTAAAGTTGTTTTTCCCATTTTAATGGCGCTATTTTCATTAGGCAAATGTATGTTCGACTTATCCTTTCATTTTACTCCCCAAAAATTCGACTCCTTTATTTTCGTGTGCCGCTCATTAGCATATAAAATGTATGAGTTGTCCTTTATTTGAGAGGCAGTGGTTGTGCTCGCCAGCGAGTCTGTCTGTATACACAATCCACGTTTATTGCATATTCATCATTTTAATTGCTTGTTTTCATACTAAATGACTCGATAAGGCTTTTACGGCTATTAGGCGGAGGCATCCTGCCGCTCACCAGGTGGGTCATCTGTATCCATGTATGAAGGATACGACGGGGAGCATGGACAGGTACGCCAATGGGAACCAATGTGTGTGCTATATTTAAGAAACATTTTACCAAGGTTAAGTATAACCGCTCCCTCCGTACTTCTCCATTTCGAAGATATAGCTTAGAATGCTTCAAATGAAATTAAATAGCAGGACTCCGCCAGCTTAAAGGACAAAAGAAGCAATTCACGTAGAAAAGTGCAAACGAGATGTATCCGAGGGAAAAGGCAAGAGAGGGCTCCCGATATGATTACTTTTCCTTTTGTTTTCCCATTTCGGAACTGGGGAAATCAGGAAAGCGTGGTGGAAAGAACAAAGGAATTACTTTGCCAACGAGTGAACGAATATGAATAAAAAAGTGATCAATGCAATGAAAATGATTGTCTGCTCATTGTACCGCTCCCTTCACAATTGAGCGCACAAAGTGCGAAAAGATGAAAGTTTTCAGCATGTAACAGTACTTTAATGAATAGGAAAAACAAACAATTTGAAAAACAATGGTTTTCTAAAGGGCAAAGTCCCGTGGAGAATTGGAGCAAGGGGTCCTGCAATTCGGGCATGTTAATGAATTATTCTACACCTCTTTCGTGATGGACCTACCTGAAGTCCGGGACTAACCCTTGCAGCCACGCCCACAAGAGGATCCGCATCGGCAGGGATTGCATCCACATCCGCAGGACCTGGATCCGCCAGAGACGCACTGGGGCTTGCAACATCCGCACTGGACCTTTCTGGGCTTGTCAACGGAACAGCTCTGGACCATGGAGATGGTCAGGGCAACCAGGATGATAAACTTTATATTGAACATTGCAGCCGGCTTGGGAAACTCGAAACTGTGCCAAGGCGGCATGGGGATCGACTCTTTATAGGTCCAACTTAGGGTATTGCCTTATTTGATCAGTTGATCGTTTATGCTATTTCGGGCTATCACTGCTGATTAAGTAAACATGTGGTTCTGCGCCACATTCATTATCAAAAATATATATTTGCATTAAATTTATGGGCAAACTTCGTTTACACTTCCTTTGTGAATGTTTATTGAAATATTGGTAACTTGTTCAATTAGAGAACATACCTTTTGCTGCTTATATAGAAGCACTTGCAGTTTGGAACCAAAACACAAATAAATAAATAATTGTGTAAATAAATAAATAAATTGTAAAAAGTGTAGAAAATAAGGTGAAGGTCATTAAAAGGGAAGCAATGTTTAAACGCACTACAATAATTATAAATTTAATTTAAGGGAAAGTTATTAACAGATTAAAACAATGCTGAATTACCTTCTGTAAATACAATCAGTAAGACAGTCAAAGACAAATTTTTTATTAAACAAATGTAATGCATAAGATCCTCCGAAACAGGCACAAGTGATGCATTTACAATGCAAAAATAAAATACTTTTTACCTAACTGGCTCATTTACTTACGGGTTCTACCATCTTGTTGGCGCTGTTGGTTCTCAATTTTCATAAGGCACTCGTTTTGGAAACATCGGCAGACACAATCCTTTGGTAAATCCTATAGTAAATATTGCAATTCCTACATTTTTTTCAACTTAGATTTGGACTCAGGTTCAGGCTCTTCTGTAGGTTCAGTTGCAGGTTCAGTTGCACGTTCTGATACAGGTTCTTAAAGGTGTCTTAAAGGTGTCTTAAAGGTTACTAAGAATATAACTGCCTCTTAATACTTTTTTTGCATATTTATATTAAATACACTCTGCTGTTTTAGCAGTTGCGACTTAGCATTTTATTGACATGGTGCATCTGAAAGTAAAGTGTTTGCAGAACGTGTGCTTTTATCTCTACGCGAATAACCTTGACTGGCCAAAATACACAGCCGGAAATTTTCCGTTAAAAAAAGCTTTATCACGCTGCTTCCTAAAAACAAGCTCTAAAAAAGTGAGCGATGACGCTTTATAAAATTAAGAAAAAATTCAACGTCTTAGGCGCTCTGTCAACTCTCAAGACTAAAATAATAAGAAGGTTTGGTGTTTTTAAATGTTTATTATTTTCCTTAACAAGATGCGTTTGAGGTAGTTAGTTTCCCAGTCATCTTTTAACACTTTGAGTAGCTGATGTAGGCTAAAAGATTTAGAAGGGAAAATTCGTATGGCATTTGTTAACACTTTGAGTAGCTGATGTAGGCTTAAAGATTTAGAATGGAAAATGCGTATGACATTTGCTATACTTAAGTAAGCAACAACTTACGTTTGTTACGCTCAGCTGAGTACTTCTGCAACTCGCACAGACTTTTAAACTTCTTTATTTCCAGACTGCCCTGCTTGCCATTGAGACCGCAAGGCGACGGAATGGGGAACTTGGCCAGAACAGGCCATCCAAGGAAGCACTTGCGCTTGATGAACTTCTGGCACACCCCTTTAGTGACCGGTATCAGCGCTGAACAATAAAAACAGTACAGCCAAATGAGCTTTCACTAAATATAAGTGATTAAACAGCACGTCTTACGGGTCTTTCCAGCCCTTTCCCGCTGTTGGCTCTCCTCGGCCAGAAGACAACCGTTCTGGAAGACCCGGCACACACAATCCTCGAGAGCCCAGGCGTACTCCCGCCAGTAGATCTGGCACTTGGTGGCCGGCGTCACCGGAATTTGGGGCTTGAAGATGATTGTGGCTTGGGCCACGCCAACTAGGATTGCTGCCAAGAGGATAGGATTGATCATCTCAGAGGATACTGATACTGCTTGCAGCTGCGGCTGCTGTGCAGCTTTTTATACTCCTCGAAAGAAGAAGTTGCACTGTTTGTCCAGTTGTGTGTTGAGTACGAATTTATTGATATGATAACAATATGATGATCAAATATTTGTTCACTTCGTATGAAAATGCTGGTCAATTCACTGGAGGAACTAAATTTAGCTAGACAGACAGCTTTCTGGAATGGTCCCTAATAGGTCGGTAACCAGTTTAACCCGCTTTCAAACCCCTGAAGAGCAGCCTCATAAAAAATAGCCAAAAAGCAACAAAAACCCACTTAAAATGTTGTGGCATAAATACGTGTCCACCTTTCCGGTTTTCTCTTGCTGAATAATTACACACTGTTGTCATTAGCTCATTAGAGGAGTCGTAAAGGCAAAGTGCCGGAAAAGCAGATAAAACAATGGCAAACAACTCAATTAACCCTTTTCCGCCCAAACCCCAAATGGCTGGATTATGATGATGCTGCTTAGTACCTATGCACACGAGTATATGATAATATAATAAAATAATAAGTGAAAAGTGTCGGTGGAGGGGCAAATCCTGACGGGTCTCGTATGTAATTACTTCAATTAAACCATCTGTGACAATTGCCGCAGCCGAACATGAAATTCAACTTTACTTTTGAAATTCCCAATTGAGTTGAGGCGCATTATCCTGGCAAGCAACCGCATTTATCCCCTCCCTTTTCCAGGACAGCCAGGACAACCAGGACAACCAGGCCAACAACAACAACAACCCCCGGGAGCGTCGCGTATTTTTACCTTTGACTTACCTTTACCTTTTACCTTTGCCTCGACTGCTCCCCGCTTTTAATGGGGTGACATTTATGGCACTTTATCAACTCAGAAGTCAATAATACCAGCCAAGTATCTTAAATGTGGCTTAAAACGCACACAAGCCGCCATACGAAGTGGGAAATCTTAAGGGGAAATGAAAAGCGGCCCGGATGAAAATTGCAATGCGATAAAAATAAAATTTTAAATTTATGCCGCTTATTGTCAATTCTCGGCAACAGTAATTCAAGACTTTGGGGGGAAGCTAATGCCTTTCAGCTTTGTGCGAGGGAATAATATGGCAAAAATGTAAAAACTACATACAAAAAAATATTTATTCCCATTGAATGTTTGGCAAACTAATTAATAGCTAATTTAATCGTTTCATTTCATCTCCAAGTAGTATATATTTGAATGAATGAATTACCTTACAGAATAAATAACTATTATAAATAAACAATAGCTATCCTACATTTTAAAGAATATTAAATGGTTTTCTTTGAATTTCCCAAAGGTCCAGTCAATATTGGTTGTATTTGAAACCCATTCATAACTCGAATCGATCTTTTTTCTCTCTGTACAACTCCATAGCGAAGGGCCTGATGGAGTCCCCAAGTTTGTTATGACAACTGAGAGACATTTGAATCGAGCACTTGCAGGGGGAAACTGCGGCGGGCATTAGTCGAATGGATCCCCCAGGATTAGCCAATGAGAGTGGATTTTCCCCGTCGAGGCCGCCCGCTTTTCGCCACTTTTGGCCGCTTTTCGGTATTGTCTTTCGACTGCTGACAGCTTGTGGCCTAGGGAATTTCCGCGCTGAGAAAAGTTTCGCATAATTAGGAGTATAATTTGCGAGCCAAGTCGAGCGGCTTTTTGCCGCTGACAACTTGATTACGTTTCAACAACATTGTAAAAGTTAATTGCCAGCGCAGCCTTAAAGCCTGATGAGCATTTATCACCCCGCCGAGCAAATATCCATTCGTCCCACCAAAAACCTGACACACTCCTCGCGTGTTATGCAAAAACAGGGCAAGAGCCAAAAGACACGGAAAAAGTGAGGCATTCATTAGGCCTGACACGGTGGTGGTGGCTCAGGTGGTGCGGTGGTGGAGCGTCTTGTTACCACATTTTTCAATTATAGCACATTTCCTGCCCTCGGTTTACGTATATGCATATGTATATATTTTTTTGTTTGCTTTTGTGCGAGGGGACGGCCCCTGATGAAGAGTTATTTCGTTTTAATTTGCCAACCGCTGCGAAATGTGTAAAAAGTACAAAAATAGCACTGTTTGCTGTAATGCGCAGGTGGCAAGGCAATCTCTTATCGGCATTTCTTATCGCGGCCGTGCGAGGAAGTACAAAGCGCCGAATTCCTGCTCTAATGAAGCCGGCGGTTCAGAGGTCAAAGCCGATGCAGCTAATTAGCTGCCGCTTCATTAAAATAAGTGCCCAACTAAAAAATACATGGCCCTAGTATCCACTGAGAAAATATCGGAGTAACAATGTATGCAAGATTTATTCTGACTGAATGGTATATCTTCAGTTGAAGATATGTTATTAGCTATTTAGCTGCCATCTCATGCTAATAAATATAGAACATAGCTGATTTAGCCTCATTGTTTCTCTGCGTGCATAGAAGAGGAGCTGGCCGGAAAGGTCATTTAGCGTGGCCAGCAAAAGTGTATTGTTAAAAGCCGCTAATGAATTATTTACTGCCCATTCGGCTGACCTCTGCAAGTCGGGGAAATATGGGGAAGTCCACGTTCTGGAAGTCCACGCATAACTCAACCAGTTCACACCCTTAATTAACTACCTGCGTGTTGGCCGAAAATTGCGTGTGGCTTTGCGGCGGAAGGAAATGGAATATTGGCGTAAACGGAATGGAATTATGTTTGTGAAGCATTTAAGAAGAAGCGTGACTCGAGAGCAAAAGGCGGTCCCAGAAATATCAGCACATTTCAATTACCTTGCCCGCCGAGCCGGGCTCAAAACTGTCGATTACAATAATAACACCTCGCATCCATCAATCAAGTGCATATGAATAACCATTTTAATCACTCCGAATTACCCAGCAGAGCGCACATGATGAATTGCATATTACGACGGGTGGGGGGAGGGGCTACCACATATCCATGGCTGTGGCTGCTATGTACTCGTAGGTCTGAATATGAGTTGTGGGAGTACAAACGCATTCACTTGACAATCACTTTTGTTTTATTGCGATTTGCCAGCCCAGACACCAACAACAACGGCTGGCAAAGCGAGCAATTTCCACTTGGGATAACTTGTGAGCAATTGCAATTGCCGCCGGAGCCAGGAGCAGACCATCTACGTTCACCCGTACCAGGGAACACCCGAGGAAGACAATGAGCTGTGCCAACCGAATTGTTGTGGTGCAAAAATGCGGCATATGTGAGGCGGGCAGAGGCAATCTAGGAGCAGGGGAAGGATATTGCAGCACGATGACTCAGGGATCCAGGACTCAGGATTCAGGACTCTGGATCGAGGACACAGGAATCGACTACGGAACGATTTACCAAGAAAATGAAAATTTATTGTCGGTAAATGAAAGAAAGCTCCCCCCAAGTTCGCTTCGTTTCAGTTGAGCCCAGTTGAGTAGTGTTCGTTGGCAATCAAGGTGCTCTTTGTTGGCCAAAAGGCAACTATTCGCAGTGCGTCTTCTTCCCGGCTGCAAAGGCGAAAGGGTGCCACAGTTGCAGTTGTCTATCGCCCATTGTCATTGCTTCTCGAATGGTCCAAACTTGCGGCTCAGAGGGTTTCAACAACTTGCACCTCACAGCAAAAGGGATTCTTTTTAGCACGATTTTTAGTCTGTTTTCTGTGCTTAGATACATTTTAATTGTCTTTGCTTGAACATCTCAAACAGTGGAGTAGAGATATATGAAAACAATAACATTTTGAATTAAAAGAAACATTATTAATCGTGAAGTACGAACCGTTTAATTGCTTCCCCCCTACAAATCACTGGTAGGAACTTATGTTTTAATTCTATCATATAGTGGTGATAGTTACACATGCTTTTTATTTTCAAAGAACAAATATGATAAATAAAACATATCCTTCTTTTTCTGATCCAATCAAGCTGGGCTTACGAATATGCCCGACAAATCAAAAGTCCATCTTGTAACCATTGGCCTTACAGACTGAGTAAGCTATTGGCAAGCGCTGCAGGCTCCCGCTAATGGAGATGTTGGCCAGAAATGATAATGGGCAAAACATTTAATGCACGTTATTGCCGAACCAAAAAAGCAATTTGCGGCAGCGCGCTGCCCGGATTTGGCCAAGCCCTCGGAACGGGGCTAATGCAGTGAAATATTTATTGAAATTGTGTGCTCCCCGGGGGCCAATGCGGCATTGCCTGCTATTAGGCCAGAATCGGGGTGGCATGGCGGATGGTCCTTATCCGAAATCCGACATTTTGGGCAGGGGATCAGCATCCAATGAGATGGGGGCCATCTTGGCCGGGGCTGGGACTTGTGGGAGGCGCTATTTACGAGTCTCTGCTTGGCACTTTCGGCATTATTGCCTGGCCAAATGCTTGCGCCCGATCCATAAATATCCCAGATCCCAGAGTAGGGCGAAACTTTTCGCACGCCACTCACTTCCATATAAATTACGCACATTAGTGCAATTAGTGGCAACAAGAGCAACTAGGCCGAAAAGGTCTCGATTATTCACCTGAAAGAGGCTGCGAGCTCTTAAACTTCCATAGACTCCAGCGCTCTCACGGTGCGTGCACTGAGAGAAACATCGCCCAAAAGGGAAACTTGATGCAAATACAGAGATCAGAGATCATTCCCTTAAAATTGTATCTTTAGGGGTGAGTTGCAAGTGAAACTTTAGACGATTTTCCAGGCAGCTGCTCAATTTTGTTTCAAGTGTACCGCATTCGAGTGGCACTTGAACCGGCAAAAAGCATATTTACCCTCTTGTTGCAGCCAAATCTGGGTAAATATTTGTAGCAATTATGCAAGCGGAAGTCGATACGGATATGGATACTTGTGGCTGTAGCACCGAACCCCTCTATATATAATATACTTTTTGTTCCCAGCCCAACACGTGCCGCAAATGCATGACAACATAATTATCGCACGCTCGTGGGCGCGTGTTGGATGGGAAAATGAGGGGGGCGGTGCGGATTGAGTATTTTCCACTTGAGTTTTCCGCTCCGC